GCTAGGGGTTCAAGGTCTTCGGTATGCCTTGATTTTATTGTACCTATTAAGCCCTGGGTGAAGCAGAATGATAAAGCCTTTTATATGTAATGTAAAACAAATCTCATTGTGATTGCTTTTTTTATTATAAACAGGCAACCCTGACGTCCTTTGGGTGTGAGCAGCCATCCATCCCTCCCTTCACTAAGCCAGCAAAACGTGTTTATATGACAGTGAAAGTACCCATCATTGATCAACCACAACATTCCCACCTCTCCATCCCTGGGTGCCCCTCTCTTGTGGCACAACCCCCAGGGCCCCCCCACCAACCCGCATATCCCCCAAGTCGCACCCCCCTCCTTCTGAACTCCTTCTCACGTGCGTGCACCCCCCACCCCGCCATGCTTCCCTCCCCCACCCGCGTGCTGGCAACCTGCACGGCTCCTCCCCTCTGCACGCTGGGCGGTGCATGGCTACCAACCACTGAACACGTGCTGGGCAGCGCGTAACCATCCAGCAAAACTTGTTTATAATATAGTATATGATAGCACTGCCCATGCATTTGTGTGGGATCCATGGCCAGGGTGGAGGGTGGGTGGGGGGAGGCATATGTAAGCATGTATGGACACAGCGCTGCTAGATGTGGGTGACAACATCATGAGTGTCACTTTTCCCTGCCAATGCGCTAGCTATTCAGATTTTTATAATATAGTACTAGCGGGAAGTACCCGACGTTGCCCAGGCGAAAAATATATTTAAAAACTTATCTTAAAAACCCTACATATGCATACACAGATACTAAGCTATTGTGAAAGCCCGGTGGACCGTTTGTCCATTTCTCCACAAACAAAATTATAAGAGTCTTGCAGAAGTCCAAAAAGTTATAGAAAGTGGGAGGTAAATAGTTGATATTAAAGGTTTCTGAAAATTGTCGACCCCCCTTAAAAAATATTTTTACCTCAGCGGAGGTATTTATACGTACACACACTACATACAACAGAGTAAGTAGTATTTATTAGCTCTGTAGTTGTATTTATTGACTGTACAGTAGTATCTACTGGGCCAGTAGTAGCTACTGACTGTATAGTAGTATTTACTGACTGTAGTAGTAACTACTGACCGTAGTATCTACTGGCCCTACATTAGTATCTACCGACTTGGTAGTAGTAACTACTAACTCTATAGAAGTATCTGCTGACTCTATAGTAGTATCCACTGACTATAGTAGTAACTACTAACGCTATAGCAGTATCTACTGACCAGAATGAAGTAGCTACTGACCGTAGTTGTATCTACTGCCTGTATAGTATCTACTGACTGTAGCAGTATTTGCTGACCGTAGTGGTGGTACCTGCTATCACTACAGCAGTGCATACCGACTGTGGTGGTACCTGCTATCACCATGGCAGTGCATACCAACTGTGGTGGAATCTGCTATGATTACAGCAGTGCATACTGTGGTGGTACCTATGATTACAGCAGTACATACTGACTGTGGTGGTACCTGTTATCACTACAGTAGTACATGCTGACTCTATAGCAGTATATATCGACTCTATAGCACAAAATACTAACCTGACAGTGCCGTGGTGAGGCCTAGTCACGTCGTTAGCCCCCGGCCTCGCCTATTTTGCCCAGCCGGCCGAGGTGGCACCTTGGCAGGCTGGGGGCTGGGCCGCTACCCCCGCCCCCCCACCATCCCCCCTCCCACGCAACAATAACAGTATCTAAGCACTATAATATTAGTATCTACCGACCCTATAGTAGTAAGTGCACACATTGGGGTGGGGGGGGAGAAGAGGACATGAAACTTTGATAAATTTACCTCAGCGTTGTGTGTATTTTTTTTGCATTTTGAACGCGAATGAGAAATCCCCTCCACCGATGACGCGTGTGCGTTGCAAAACGGAATAGCGCTGGCTCACCACGGGGCTTACGGCGTGGTACCTGGCTACTGTTTTTTAAACGTAACCCCACGGTTTGCGAGCCAAATCCTTAGCAATTTCATGTACACAGACGGACGGACAAAGACACAAAAAATTAAGTTTATTAGTAAGATGATATGACAAGGATTACCATAAGGCCACCTGCATACTTTGGTAACATGGCATTTTATAAATTAGAAGTGAATGCTAAAGGTATAGTCGTATAGCTAGACAAGCCTTAAACTGAGCATTTTAGTGTTTTCTTTTAGACCATGCCTGAATGTTATTTCTATTTGGCATGCAACCGTTGTACTGTAAAAAATGCCATCAAAATAGCCATGAAGGAAAATTATGTAATTCTTTAATTAACCCTACTTATGATAAATACTATTAAACCGTTTACTTGCTGAAGCACGTTTAATTCAATGTAAAAAAATATGACTTTGCTATTTATACTTCGAAGGCAATGAGCCCAACGACAATTATTTGCAATGAACCTAGGCTGACTTCATAGATGGGTGAGCGACTTCAAAGGCATCGTGTATTTCAATACGGCTCAACATACTATTTAGTTTTATATTTTTAACACATTTATCATGTATTGTATTACATCACAGCTTACCGTTTGGTGCAAATATGAAAATATTGTTGCTCTTGGTAAATTACATTTTAAAGTAATGTGCAATTGGCCCTTCCATGCTGTTGGGACAGGATTCATGGTAGGCAGGCATGTTAAAAGTGGCAGAGTATGCAATGGTAGGGGAATGCAGAGAGGGGTTGGGGTAAATTTCAGAGCAAGGGGCAGGGGATGGCTAAGAATAGCAACACTGTCAATGCATGGTGCGGAAAATCACGACAGACAGCTCTGGGTACATGGCTTTCCCACTGTGGAAGCCACTGTAAGTATTCTCTGCCCAGCAGCCAGTTTCCAGAGGAAGGGGTAATTTGGCAAATAGGTTAGACTGAGTGTAATATGAAAGGGCACGTACAGTGAGGGAAAAAAGTATTTGATCCCCTGCTGATTTTGTACGTTTGCCCACTGACAAAGTAATTATCAGTCTATAATTTTAATGGTAGGTTTATTTGAACAGTTAGAGACAGAATAACAACAACAAAATCCAGAAAAAAGCATGTCGAAAATGTTATAAATTGATTTGCATTTTAATGAGGGAAATAAGTATTTGACCCCCTCTCAATCAGAAATATTTCTGGCTCCCAGGTGTCTTTTATACAGGTAACGAGCTGAGATTAGGATCACACTCTTAAAGGGAGTGCTCCTAATCTCAGCTTGTTACCTGTATAAAAGACACCTGTTCACCATGGCCAAGACCAAAGAGCTCTCCAAGGATGTCAGGGACAAGATTGTAGACCTACACAAGGCTGGAATGGGCTACAAGACCATCGCCAAGCAGCTTGGCGATAAGGTGACAACAGTTGGTGCGATTATTCGCAAATGGAAGAAACACAAAAGAACTGTCAATCTCTCTCGGCCTGGGGCTCCATGCAAGATCTCACCTCGTGGAGTTGCAATGATCATGAGAACGGTGAGGAATCAGCCCAGAACTACACGTGAGGATCTTGTCAATGATCTCAAGGCAGCTGGGACCATAGTCACCAAGAAAACAGTTGGTAACACACTACGCCGTGAAGGACTGAAATCCTGCAGCTCCCGCAAGGTCCCCCTGCTCAAGAAAGCACATATACATGCCCGTCTGAAGTTTGCCAATGAACATCTGAATGATTCAGAGGACAACTGGGTGAAAGTGTTGTGGTCAGATGAGACCAAAATGGAGCTCTTTGGCATCAACTCAACTCGCCGTGTTTGGAGGAGGAGGAATGCTGCCGATGACCCCAAGAACACCATCCCCACCATCAAACATGGAGGTGGAAACATTATGCTTTGGGGGTGTTTTTCTGCTAAAGGGACAGGACAACTTCACCGCATCAAAGGGACGATGGACGGGGCTATGTACCGTCAACTCTTGGGTGAGAACCTCCTTCCCTCAGCCAGGGCATTGAAAATGGGTTGTGGATGGGTATTCCAGCATGACAATGACCCAAAACACATGGCCAAGGCAACAAAGGAGTGGCTCAAGAAGAAGCACATTAAGGTCCTGGAGTGGCCTCGCCAGTCTCCAGACCTTAATCCCATAGAAAATGTGTGGAGGGAGCTGAAGGTTCGAGTTGCCAAACGTCAGCCTCGAAACCTTAATGACTTGGAGAAGATCTGCAAAGAGGAGTGGGACAAAATCCCTCCTGAGATGTGTGCAAACCTGGTGGCCAATTACAAGAAACGTCTGACCTCTGTGATTGCCAACAAGGGTTTTGCCACCAAGTACTAAGTCATGTTTTGCAGAGGGGTCAAATACTTATTTCCCTCATTAAAATGCAAATCAATTAATAACATTTTTGACATGCGTTTTTCTGGATTTTGTTGTTGTTATTCTGTCTCTCACTGTTCAAATAAACCTACCATTAAAATTATAGACTGATCATTTTTTTGTCAGTGGGCAAACGTACAAAATCAGCAGGGGATAAAATACTTTTTTCCTCACTGTATGAGGGCCGAAAGTTACCGCCTTTCATCTTTCGCTTTATCTGGTGTGACATTTTAAAGAAGATGTACTTAGTGGGATGCATCAAGTTAGCCATCCAATATGAAATTTATTTTTTCCTTTTTCTGGAAATGTACACTATTGGATCTTTAGTAGCTGCTCTCTGAACATTTAATCTGAATTTGCAGACATATTCTAAGGCCAGTGTGAGTCCCAGAATATTTATGCAGCCTACAGAAAATGGAGATGTACATTAACATCTGCATACATGTTAGTTATTAAAAAAATTGCTTTGATATAATATTTTTAAGCAAAACCTGTTGAATATGTATGCTGTGATGTGTTGAGTCAAACAAATGTGCATATTGACGCCAATGTGTAAAATTTGTGCTAATATTTGATAGTGTAGTATTGTACTCATTTCATTCTGTAGGATGCAATTGACATAATCTTGCGTTTTAAAGCCGAATATTATGCACTGATATGAAGCAGTGAAATTATTGTTCGTAATTTTTCTATGCCCTGCATTTGTTTCTGGCAGTGTTGTTTAATTTCGTGGTGCACGATAAAAGAAAAAGCCCAATTTGGAACGTGGTGATGTGGACCTTCCTCTTCATCGGGCAGGGCATCATGGTGTGCCTCTATTCACTTGAGTGGTATGCCCAACAACACTGCCCAGCTAAAGGGGTAAGACTTATCTCACCAACCATGACACGTGTTGTTTTGTATGGACTGCATTCACTTTTAAACACGTTCAAATGTATCACATTATTTGCCGATACTGTGTAGGCATTGGTGCACAAATAGCCTAAATATTTATCAATAACCACTACCCTAATATAAATGGCATATTCATACATTTACTGACCTTTTATGGCAGTGTTATTGACAAATGTGTTGCGTTTCTAAACATCTCTCTGTGTTCGGGTTGTACTTCACGTTCTGCATGATGCCCTACGTTTTGCTCCTTGTGCTGGGAGCTTTTACACGAACTGAATTGAGCAGCTCACTTTCTCCCTCAATTATGTAGTGTTGCTTGCTGCTGTTGGTGTTTTCGGTTCCAGCTGTCAAGTGCTAGATTATCCGAGGGAGAACGAGAGCTGCTCTGTTCAGTTCCCGAAGAAACTTTCAACGCGTGGAACAAAATGTCAGCCATCATGGCAATTACGTTGGTACAGCCCAAAAAAGTATCGGCGAGTTAGTTGCACAGCACAACCGCTAAAACATATGCAATATGACCTTAACAATGGGCAGCCACAAAAAGCCATGCGCATAGCTTTTAAAGTATCCACCGTGCGAAAAGGAATGGATTCCATGACGTGGCTTAGGATCCATTACTTATTTTATAAGATAAATACTTAGGCTTAAAAGTTTCCACTTATGTTTGTGTATTGATTTCTATATGTTTAATTTTTTTCCTCCATTAGGAAACCTTTTTTGATCTCATCACCCCGCTATCGTGGAGCTGCCAGCCCTTTGTGTGACCCCTTCCAATGGAAACATACTTGGCACACTGCTGGCTGGTGTGACTGCTTGGTGTCTCATCACACACTGGATACAACTGGGATACAAAGGGAGATAATTACCAGGAATAAAAACATTGATAATTATGACAGGGACTAATACAAAATTACACATTAACCTTTTATTTGCAAAATAATGTCTCAAAAGTTTAGCAATTTTGGAGAGAGAAGGAACTTGTTTTTTTATCTTTTCAAATTTGAGTGTGAAAGATTGTCTTTACCTTGAAAATGTCTGAACCAAAGACTGTCTTAAAATAATATACTTAACATTTTCTATAAAATTCCACTTGGAAATATTTGAATATTGTTTTTGTTAAATATCAGCTCATCAAGGAGAAGGCCTGTGGTTAAAAATATATGATTTTTTTTACATTTCTGTCATTAATGAACAATATGTTCAAGATCTTCATTCAAGTCACAATTTCACTTCGATGTTTATATCTGGAAATCTCTTAAGGTAATAATGTAGTTAATTGTTATTGTTAATGCTTTGTGTTTGGCCTTCACGTTGCACTGGTTAAGTGGCTGAACAACTTACCATTTCATTTACACTTTTAATTTTTATGTTCCCGTCCATTAAACATGTTATTCTTGATCTGAATATTACAGACCTGTTATGTTTACATTTATATAGAGAATTGGAGCAGAAATCTTTGCAATTGCTACTGTCGTTGAAATGGGGATGCTCGTTTCTTCAGCAGTGCTGCCATCCAATATTTAGTTGTATTTAGGTACACATTTGTTGTATTTGCACACAATTGGATATCAAGGCACATTTAATGTGATGTTCCACATATGCTATTTTATAACAGATATAGATGTTTTTCTTACAATGGTATATCGGTTAATATACCATTTCTCAGTTTGTATGGTGTTGGGCTTGTTAACATGCTTGTGCAGCACTGTTTAATAATACTGCCACAGCCCTTTTCTCAAGCCACTGCTCGATGAGTGCCTCCCCACACCTTGCAGGTCGTGGGGGAGAGGGGGGATATGTGATATGATTTCACCACACTGGTCAGTGCAGGTTGAAGGAAGAGCTCTGATGTGGAAGCATAGCAATTCAATAGAAAGGATTTTACTGAACTGCCATCTATTGACCATCGCATAGCACAGCTACACAACCGCCGATGACGACTTGTTTTTATGCATGGTGGTCCGTCCAAACAGTCCAAGTAAAAACCTGCATGGCTTATGAGATCTGTTTAATGCTATATTGGACCTCAATGCAGAAAATTTATTTCAGTGCACACATTCCCAAATACAATAGTTGTTTAATTGCCTTGTTAATGTCATTAATACCATTCTCACAATTCATGCAGTATACTCAGGTTGTCCTACCATTGTGGTTTTCAGCTGAAGATGTTTATTGTAAACAATGTTATCTCAATTTAGCTGATGAGATAATTGTAAAGTGTACTGGTTCAACATCCCTGGCATTTCTTTGACTTTTTTTCCTGAAATCAGGCAGTGGCTGAGTAAGTATGTTATGTGTGATCTCATATTTCCCACTGGGGCCTTGCCAACCCAGCCTGCTGCAGCTCAGAAATTGCCAGGTTTTTTCACTGCAGAACCCAAGTCGTGCAGCTGAAGCCACAACGAATTATTAGCCCCGGCTCTGCTTGGCCCAAAGCCAGATTGGTATGTTCTTGCGAGGCCAGTGTATGACGGTTTGGTTCTGGATGGGCAAGGCAAATAGCCAGTGGAAAACAACCCATGCCATAATGGCCCCGTGTTTGCTCAGCTCGATGTGTTGCAGTGGAAAATGTGTCGAGGACAATGCAGTATGGGGAAGGGAAATTCGCTGTGAAATTCCCAAAGATATTTTGGTGAGTTACGCCATTAAGGATTTATTGCAGTTAAGTGAAAAATGGAGATTGGTTTTGCTATGCCATTGCTGATTGCACCCTTGTTTTGTAATTAAAATATTCGTGGTAATATTTTTATAATTAAACCACAGAACTTTGAGTATTTAACCTCGGTATTTGTGTAAAAGTAGTGACGATACATTGAACTGGTAATTGTTTTGATTGGGAATGGATACTTTTTTCTGTTTACCATGTGGAAATTAATAAAATTGTCAAATAATCTAACCTTGTATCGGTAATAATTTGTACTGAACTACAGACATGGACTCGCCTACATATACACAAGGGTACTGTCATGAATTCAGTTGTAGTTTTAGGCGTTCTAGTAATACACAGTTGGGTTGAAAATTTAAACTGAATACTGTACTGTAGTGTTCACTCGGGAAAGGAAAGGCTTAACATTTTGGAGTGTTAGCCTTAGAATCGCCTAAGCAAATATTCCTCTGTTTCATCTTACTATGCATGTAAAGACCGTGCAACATGTTTGCTACACAATTGATGCATATATTTTGCAGCGACAACTGGATAACAGCATATTTATACATTGGGCAGATATTTAGGCAGACTGGGATCACGATGGAATAAAAAGGCAGACGAGAGCAAGTTGGAGTCATTTTTGACAGCTCAACTAAATCGTGAAAAGGAACTTGCAAATGTGACTACAAGACAACGTTTTGAATCCGTGTTCATCAACTGCTTAAACAGATTAGCCACGTGCAAGTTAAGACACCAAACCCACTTGTATTTTAATTAAGGTATGTGGGCTTGGTCAGGATACATCACTGGAAGGGATGATGACCAGCAGTTGAGACGAATTATGAAGTGTTAACCAAAGGTGGAAACACAAGAAGACAATCATCTAGTGTGCTGCGCTCGCTGGATAGACTCATTGCAGGACTGGGATGGCGACGGTTTAGGGCAGGGGTGTCCAAACTTTTTGCAAAGAGGGCCAAATTTGATAAAGTGAAGATGCACGGGGGCCAATAGTTCTGACATTTTTTAACCACAAAAGTTACTTGAAAATACACACTTATAAAAAAAATTCATTGTCACAATTACCTTTATTTTTCAAATGACAATGTAACCAAATATAAGCCACTCAGGCAGACGTGAACAACTCTAAAAACACAATTCTGCCTTTCATTCAGTCAGGTAACATTGAACAAACTGTATAGAATACCTTACATTTCCATGAGTTAAATATCTGTGCCTCATGAACATTTTAAACAGGAGTTATAAGTAATGCAAAGTGGTCTGTTCTCATTAAACTTTATAACAAGTGAATTTTGCCCTTGTCTTTTACAAGATCTTTCAGAAAGCAATAGTTTGTGTCACATCTACAGGTACATAACATCAACAGTTATAACCAAATCATATTCAAGAGTTTAATCAAACAAGTGCCATAAGTCCAAGTGCATTAGTGTGCTTTAGGCTTTTCACTGTTAATATTTAAAGATGTTACCGTTCAAAACACTCAATTTCAGATTGATCAAGGAACAGATAACTTGCTGACACTAATGAGAAGGGTGATACTGAGATCTAGATTCTCGCATCCTTGACCTAAATCGGTTCTTGTTTAAGCTCATGACTGAGAATTTTTGCTCACACAAATATGTGGAGCCGAATAAGCTCAGCATTTTCTTAGCGAACTGACCGCATTTCTGGAAACCTGCTTTTGTCCAGCTGCCATTAAAGCGGCGGCCCTCACTTTCAACTTTTTTTTTGCAGTCGCCATGGCAGAAATGATTCGAAAAGGGTTCGCGGCACAGATGCAGAGCCAGAGAGCACTAGAATGGTGCTGCCACCGTGTGGCGAAAGGAGGAATGATGTATTTATTCTGACAGAGCTAGCGAGCCATAAATAACACATTATAAGACCGAAGCTGCGGGCCGTATGAAATCTGACCGCGGGCCGGACTTTGGACATGCCTGGTTTAGGGGAATGCCTTCAACAGTTTTACCTGTCATGGCTGATGACGTTTGTACAATATACTAGCGGGAAGTACCCGGCGTTGCCCGGTGGGAAAAATACATATAAAAACTTCTCAAAGCTTAAAAACATAACTTATACAAATGAAAAGAAAACGTTGATCATTACCTAGTGAATTAAAATAAAACCCAACGCGCGTTGAAATAAAAAAAACTTACGCTCGCGCGCCAAGATTCGATTCTTAAATTGCGCAAAGGAATCGAAGGTTGTAGATTTGTTTTCGAATCTGCCTATTCCCGTTTAATCGATACCACAAACGCTCATCAGATATTGATTCTCGCCAGTCCTGTATGCGGGTTGACGCCACACACTTCATGGTCATTCCCCCCCCCCCCCCTCATACAAAGTCTATTTTTATACGTTTTACATTATATACAGTATGGGAGCTAGCCACATGGCAAATTTAACGTTTTTAACCTACTTCTCCCCAGCCGGCCTACGCAGAGGGTTAGGGGGGGGGGGGTGCGTGACGTCAGCAGGTACCTGCGTCACGCTGCCCCATGCGACTGTCTCTTTCTCGTCTCCGTCTCACTCCGACTGTCGCTCTCTCTCGGCTTCTCCGTCTCACTCCGACTGTCGCTCTCTCTCGGCTTCTCCGTCTCACTCCGACTGTCGCTCTCTCTCGGCTTCTCCGTCTCACTCCGACTGTCTCTCTCCCTCTCTCGTATCTTCTCTGTACCTGTTCCACTGCTAGCCTATCCCATCTCTCATATCTTCTCCTGCTCCACTGCTACCCTATTCTATCTTCTTCTTCTCCCCGACTGTCTCCGTCCAGCTCCCAGCAACAACTCCCCATCCCTCTCTCACGCTCCCGTATATATCCCCGTCCTCATTAATTACCAATTCATTAACCGGCGTCCCCACCGACGCCCCGCGCCCGTGGCCCCCGCCGCCACCTGCTCCCATCCCCAGACTTGCTGGTGCCACTTTGCCCCTGACAACAACAACCGGCCAATCACTGCCCTGCATCCCATAACCACCTAACGAGCCGTCTCTCTCCGACCGTTATCCTCCCAGCAACACCTGTTTGCCCTGAGGCGACCCCACTGTCCATAACCCACACGTGTTTCCAATTTCCCCTCTTGGCGCGCGTTAATCCACTACATATATGAATTCTGTCAATGAGAAACATGTTCAACTCAACTAAATGAGACCTGATTTGTACAGTTTATTTTAAGGCAGACTTCTGAAGAGATATACAGAGCTTTCGCGCCCTGGCACATTTTATGTGAGACTTGTACATTGGAGCAGGGGCGGTTTCTTCATTAGGGCGAATGGGCGACGCACCACCAATGTCATTCAACCACAGAGTCACGCTAGCCGTCACTGTGCCTCTGGATATAGTCCAATCAGTGTCATGTCACGTTCTGTGGAGTACCGCCTCTTTTTGGGCGATTTCACTCGGCTGAGAATCGCCCCGAGTGGCCCCATAGACTTACATTCAAAGATGTTTTTTTTCGAACGGCGGGCGCTCCAATGCATTCTCTATGGCTTCCGGGAGGGCTTGCACTAACGTGCTTACGTCATCATACGTGATAACGTCATCATACGTAAGCACGTTTCATCCAACAATATAATTTATCGCCACATAGTGGAATCTTTAATAAAATAAACTTGAGTGGTTTGTTTTAATAGTGAGTATAGAAACAAACAAGATGTATTGTAAGAGTCACTTTATTTTTCATTAATATTAAAGAAGTGAAGTTGCCTTTACATGTTTAAGCTGTTAATTTATCCATTGCATGGGTGGAGCTTATCCTTATCAATCATCCAGACATTTGCCCCCCCTGAGAGATTTTGCAGGAGCCGCCACTGCATTGGAGGCCTTTTTTTACGATCTCAGGGCTTGCACAGGCAAATCAATGAATTTCTGTGGTGGTGAAATCGCCGTGCAATACGTAAAGAGCATTCTGATTTCCCCTGTGCCTGGATATCAAATGCTCGCGAACCCTGCCTGTGACAGCGCCTACACCCTTCACACTGGCAACTGAACAATCAAGTTTGATGCTACAAAATCAACCCCTTACACCTTGGTATCCTCTCATTTAAACTCATAGCTCTCCAATGGCTATCAACAACAAGGCAACTCCTATGACTAATTGGGAATGGGACGCAAGCGTAGGATTGATCACCCTGTCGCTGGCCGCCTTTGGGGAGGGTGTATAGTATGAAAGGCCGAAACACCCTAGGACCCAAAGGTTCACTACTGACGATGCGCTCCCCAAATTTCACCAGGCTCACTGTTCATGAACTATTGGAAGTGCTTGCACAAAGGATAATAACATCTCATCCTGTGTTCTTTGGAATCGCATGTTATTTGCCATAACGTCTAACGTTTCGCTTCATCGGACATCGTACCAAACAATGCGCAAGATCTTGTTTTCAAGTGTAAAGTATCCATCGCCCACATATAATCATGTAGAAAATGTGTAAAAATTATTGTGGATCAGGATGCAACTGGCCTTCATTACAAGGCAGTGCACATCTGTGGCACAGGAACTGACTATAAACATGATTCATGCATGGACCTTTTAGCAATGCCTTACGCAAAACCTTTCATAACAAGGGTCATGCTGGCAAACTCGCAGTGACACTTGTTGAACACTCGAAATGAAGGACGTGGGCAGGTGCTCCAAATCGAGGGCAAACACATTTATTGTGATAATCTGTAAAATGTAACAGCACGTGTATCACAGATAAATTCTCAACCGAGTCGCCATTAACCACATGACTGGTGTACAGGTCAGGTTACTCAATAACAGTTTCCCCTTAACCCAATTCTACTATTGATAAACCATCTTTGTCTTTAATCATAACCTTTACACTTTACTATTCGAATATTACTTTAATCCTAAGCTGTATCTCTATCTATGCCATCCACTTATATCGATCTTATCTTACACCCATTGTCTGTACTGTATGTGTACTGTATTCTACTGTACTTGTCACCATTGAACAACTTACTACTGTACAGGTGTTCTATTCTTAATAGCATTGCAAGTAGTCATACTCTGGGTGCATGGGCATGGTTATAGAATAAACAGTATTAGGGTTAGAGAATTAACGGTTAACTACAGTATGTCATCCTTTACAGTGTACAGTGCCAAACCCCCTCTTATTGAATATATCACAAACTACAAATTCAAAGCCAAGTTTAAAGATAGGCCTCGGCAAGGTAAAGTAATTTACCCTTTTTATCAGGTAAAAGGGTAAAGGTGTCGACCATGCCAAGGGGT